AATTGTGAATCGTTATTTATCTCATTGCTAATCTGGTTTGGATCTAACCATTGTGGGCTTCCAGCCTTATCTGTCTATGGCAGTGTCAGCTATCGGTACGTCACAGTGTTCACCTCACCTGTTTACGCTCAGTCCCCACAAGCTGCATGACAGATAGCCTGGTTCCTGACTGAACATGCGCAGCGTCATCTTCATAATATATAGCAACGTATTCCAATCAGGATATATTGTTTGGCTTATTAATAAGCTTACGAATCTTTGAAGTAATCTAAAGTTGAATTCAATCTAAATTGCCCATAGTCATAACGTTCTCCGAAGGTCAAAACTGTTTCACTATTTATGGGAAAACACATAGCTCTAATTATGTGATAGAAATGAATTTAGACTCACTGACCTACTCACTCAGACGCCGGATTCGCGTCGTGTAAATCTGCAAATCAATTGATTTCGTTGTTGATAAGATAGACAGACAGATTGTTTATTAAAGTCAAGGTTTGTCAGCACTACTTAGGATTTTTCTATTAAAGATATGGGGCTCTTCATCAGACAACTGCTGAAAGATGGTTAGTTATTTGTATGCGGAATGCTGGCATAGTACTGGGGTTATTGCAAGAGATGTTCCATCGACTATCAGCTGATTGGCAAGAAAATATCGTTAACTAATGACGTTACGGACGTCAGCGTTCAGGTCGACCATGAGTGACAACACCCAGGGAGGATACTGCCTTCTCAGAATCATAAGACTTCATATGTTCATGTCAAGTGGCGTGTTAGAAACAGGATGGCTTCTGCGTTCGGCGAACGGAACGGTCCGAAGTCGCCTAAAATCAGCCGGGTATAGAGTCAGGCGACCTACCAGGCGGCTGTTGTTGTCCCAAGGGGACGAAGCTGATATCGACTAACTTGTGGTTAAGCTCGACGTCACTAGAATTTGAAGTCACTGGTCGGACAAAAGTCGATTTCTTTTCTTAAAGACTGTTGGCCGAGCTTGTGTTTGGCGCCGCAGAAATACTGTATATAACGGGATATCTTGCAGCAAGTGCCGTTTGTTGGGAGTTCATTGGTGGTGTGGGGTACCTCTAACATAACTGTAAACATGACCTCGTGAGGATCAGACAAAATGTGAATGGAGATCACTGACATCCCAGACAGGGTTGTTGTACCACATTTCGATTACCTCCCCCTGAACACAAGGCCAGTCTTCATGGAGGACAGTGCTAGGCCACACCGTGCACGTGCCGTTGCTGACTTATTGCGTCAACAGGCTGTAGCAACTCTACCACACCCAGAAGTCCAGATCTCAAGCTCGTTGATCATATTTGAGACATTATAGGTCGCAGAATACGCCAGAGAGATCTTCCAGTACAACATCTTGATGGAAGAATGGAACGTATTACATCAACGTCTGATACAGTAAGTGGGGTCGGGGTGTTATTGCAGTTGGTTACACCAAATATTGACATTGAGCTCAGTTATCAATGCTTATGTCATTTATCAAGGTTGTATGCCAGAATCTTGAAAATGAACGCACGTTATTTAACGGCATACGGCCATAGCTATAAGCACTACAAAATCTACAGATTTTCGTTCTTTATGCGTTTAGATTTGCCATTACATTGTTCCTTTAGGGTCAGTCTATCCAGACAGTAAGTGACAAAGAGGTATGGATAGGTTTCTTTCTTACGGTTAATGGTAGCAGATCCATGCCATGGAAAATATGGGGTGTTGCGTTACCTTTTTCCGTGTGTATTGTCCTTACCTAAACTATGAGAATGAAAATATCACTCTTCAAAACTTTTTCAACAATGTATTTCTTTGCTTTTCAACAGTCTGAAGTACCTGTATTTTATTTTGGAATTTTCTGGGACAAATATTGTCCAAGCTTCAATGTAGAACACGGTACTTGTTTAGAACTGTAGATCCTGCGCTATGTCAAGGAAGGATGGAGTTGAATGTTTCATATTAATTTGCTTAATGTCATTTTTTAATGATGACAAACGATAATGAAACAATGGTATTGTTCCTGTTCTCGATATACATGTCTACATGTAGGTCTATTTTGTCTTAGGGCACGCTGTGTTGTGACACGCTGAAAGAATTCGATTCACTCTAACACTTACCTGCTGCAAACTAGGGCTGCGCAATATAACCGGCTTACTGGTAATTACCGGTTCAGACATGAAATCCCTGAACGCGTCATACCAAAAGACGTTAAAATATGGTACTTGTTGGTCCCTGCCTGGCGCTCGGCATTAATGGGTACAACAAGGACTGCTCGGCTTGGAGTCGGTATAATGTGTCTGTGTGGGGTATTCATGCTTCACTGCGGCATGGTATCTCAGTGGGCTAGCACTATAAAACCAGCTTCAGTCTGGGCTAGTACAAGCAGCCGCACATACACATACACACGCATGCACGTCGTCATATGAGCGAAATATTCTCAAGTACGACGTAAAACCCAATTTCACCTCACCTCACCTCAGACATGAAAACGATACGTATTGCAATACGCTGATCAAAACCGGTATTTTGGCATGCATTCGGAAAACTTAGTAACATTCGGAAATCTTCTGATATTTTCCTTGTTTCATTTGTGCCAAATGTTATTTACATTTTATCTTGTGATGATTAAAAGGTTTTATTAAAACTTAATCAAGCACAGTGATTTTGATGTGTTTTTGCTTTTATAAATCAAGCATTAACTCGATTATAATTAGTTTTTAGTTAAAAAAAATTTCTTGCAATATTTTGCAATATGAATAATCTCTGCAATACCCACCCCTACTACAAACCCAGATGAGGAACCGACTCTGGGCCACAGCACAATGCGGTGTTTTTAACAAACAAGTCGCTGGACTTTCCAGGATTGAATATACTGTTCTTCTTTACAGAACAGGGCAAATAACTCGGGGTGAGAATAGACACGCTCTGTTTCCTACCTTCAAAACAGGTGACTTGTATTCATGTATTCAATTACAGTGGATGTACCTATATTTGGGACTGCTCCAGATCTTCCGATATACATCGTGTCTCTCGTTGAAAGAGACGTTTCCTCAGGCTTTGTGTCTGCTATGTGGTCCTACAAGTTTTCATTTCCAGACTTTTCAAAACGTCTTCGCTCCATTTGTCTCACTGTTAAAACCTATACTGGTAATTTTCTAAGCATTGATGCGCATTCGTCTTTCCTGAAAAAGTCATTAGCGCAGTATATGGTCTTAATTTTCTGAAAAATATTTACCTTTATTAAATAAATACACATTCACCATGAAATAGAATTTATGCTCCACGCCTGCATTGTCTACTTCGAACTTACATTGTTGCCGGGTGTCTTTTAGTGTAGACACAGAGATTAAATAAAAAAACACATCAGGTTTTGTATCTGTAACTGAACAGCTGTCCATAGTCCTAGACTAACATCTAGTCTCTCAAATGAACATATTTTACAGAAAACAACAGTTCCTAAATTATAATCATGAAATATAATAAAAAGGAGCCCAGAGACTTTCTTCATTTCCAGACTTGCCACATAATCTAGACTTCCATGGGCCTTCTTGGATATATTTGTTTGAGACAGACTAAATATAAAGGTGTACCGATCCCACTCATTCAGCTTTCACTTGAAACATTTTTACAACTACCTTTCACATAAGTACCTGGGAAGATCCGGGTTAGAATTGATCTTCAGTAACCCATGCTTGTCGTAAGAGGCGACTAACAGGATCGGGTGATTAGGCTAGCTGACTTGGTTGACACATGTCATCGTATCCCAATAGATTGATGCTCATGATGTTGATCACTGGAGTGTCTGGTCCAGACTCGATTATTTACAGACCGCCGCCATATAGCAGGAATATTGCTGAGTGTGGCGTAAAAAATAAACTCACTCATTTTACATGAGAAGTAATATATTGCAAATAATAGGATATATTGTATGCTTTTGGTATAATCCCATCGTGACCTCCATCAGTACCTGCTATTTATAATTGGTTTATCAGCATATATACCTCTATCATAGATTTCCTAAACGCGGTACACTATTCCATTCACCGCACCGGGCTCCTGCCGACATCTGGAGATTTATTGACTGACAGGTTCTGAGCCCTCACAGAAAGACATTATTTAAAGACATTAAAACCATTTCACATAACCCCCTTCTTTAGTGCCGAACTGTTGCCTTTTCTTGTCTCTCCTGAAATGTTCTCCAGAGCTGCTATGACGTCATCGTTCGGTACTGGCTTTAGCGTTCTCCGTCTGACGGAGCCAGATCCCGAGAAAAAGGGCGATGCTGTAATCCCGAGCTGGGGTCCATCACCATTTTCCATGGTCATCAAGGTTTGGGGGGATAGTGGTGGCGTGGAATGGTTCCGCTTTGTTGATCGTTGCTTGTACTGAGGCTAGAAGCGGTGAACCTTGACAGTCACGCACTGTTGCAAGAACCTTACTGGATCAGCCTCAGACACAACTGTTATCACAATACATGCTTTGACCGGTGTACTTATGGTTTTTTTTATTAGATGTGTGAAACTTTGGAACTCAACAAGTTGATAATTTTCAATACCAAAGTTTCTGAGATAATGGAATGCCCTATCCTGGACTGCTGACACATTCGTCAGCACAGGCCCTCGTTAACAAAACATAAAACATTTGAGATGACCCCCGACTCGAAATGCTTCTCAGTACAATACATAATGACATAATTGGGTTTCACGTCGTGCTTGAGAATATTTCGCTCATATGACGACGTGCATGCGTGTGTATGTGTATGTGCGGCTGCTTGTACTAGCCCAGACTTAAGCTGGTTTTATAGTGCTAGCCCACTGAGAAACCATGCCGCAGTGAAGCATGAATACCCCACTCAGACACATTATACTGACTCTGAGCCGACCAGTCCTTGTTGTAATGCCGAGCGCCAGGCAGGGACCAGCAAGTACCATATTTTAACGTCTTTTGGTATGACGCGGTCGGGGATCGAACCCGGAGGCGGTCGATGACTGCATTGGGTGTTAATGATGACACTGCATGATGATGAATAGCTGCAGTGGATGTTGATGATGAAACTGCATGATGATGAATAGCTGCAGTGGATGTTGATGACAGTGCTCGATGGATGTTGAATGAAGGCAGTGGATGATGATGACTGCAGTATACGATGTTGATGATGATGATGATGATGATGATGATGATGACAGTTGTGCATGGTGATGGCAGCACTGCTGCCACGAATCACGGCAAAAGTTTTAGAGTCTTACATGAAACTCATTTTCACTGTACCGAACTAAATGGTTTAAATTATAACATATTCTATCCATCATCGGCAACAATTGCTGGTCGGTTCTGCTTGGAGTTCGACACCGAGAACAACGCTTCTTGAGAGGGCCTTGTGTTTACGGCATTGGGGCACCCCGGAAGCTGGTGACAAAGTCGCGGGAGTTAGAGCGTGACAAGCACACGCGTTGTAGGGAGCTGGGGAGCGCATCGCTGTGACGACTCAAAACAAAGAAATTGGCTTGCCACGTGGATGTTAATGTAAGTAAACCACTTGTCATTTGCAAGGCTTTGATGGAGTCACAGTTAATCCTCTCTGACCGATTTATGGCTGTCCTTACGCGACTTGGTAATGACCTAGTAACTGTTGAACAATGGCTATTTATAGACCAAGATTGCTGTTTGGTCATCTCCTTGTGAGATAGACCCGAGGGGTGGTGTTAGGGTTTAAACGGGTGTATTTTACCAGTGGCATGTTCTGAACAAATTTTAAAAAGTCAAACCCGAGACATGACATATATATTTTTTCACACGCCTTGTGTCGTGCTGGGGAGACGCACAGTTATCGTGTCGGTGTACATTACACGCAAGCTACAGTGTCACCGTGACCCGTGGTAGTGACGTACGCGATGTTGGGACTGCTATTGTCTCATCAAACGTGTAATTATCCCACCCGTGACTCATCTAGACTACAGGTGGAAAGTTCCACAAGAGTGAGAGAGTAGGGGGCATATCCCCAGTACGACTAAACACAAATGACAAATCTACATTTCTCAATCTTTGGGGACACAACTGATTACTTTTCTTATTATGGTTGGTATTCCCTTAAACCCCGAGTGTACATGATGTTAGTAACAACCAACACTAACTTCATTATAAACGTGCATTGATTATCGCTTCGATGTGATTGTGTGTTATTCCAACATGGTAAGGGGTCTAGCTGACGAGCGCGGCATGTTTTGGCTATATCTATTATCTTCCCATATCCAGCTGTACACGCTTCTTGTTTACATGTAGACTAGAGCTAGGAGTCGGTCACTGTCATTCAGGGATATGGGTTAGAAAAAGACTCTATTTTTTATTGCTTGCAGCAGGTGTTTAAATTGATTGAATTGCTTAAAGGTCAAATGCAACCAAAAAATCAAACATAATTAAAACACAATTATCACTTATTCATGACATATAATATACATTGCTGGTTATGAAAAAACACATGAACAAAATTATAAGCGTACAATCGCAAATCAAAAGTGCAATATTGTGTACTTGGGTTTACTTCCCAAGAAACGAAGCAGCCGGGATACCGAACCCAGTCAGAGCGGCCGGGTGTGCACTCAAGTGTAACGGATGGTTCATTTGCAGATGCGCTCAGGGCTCATTGTGTGTGTATATGTAGAGAGGTTGGGTTTTGTAAATACATGCTCATTTTTTGTGTATAACATTTTGCAATCAACAGACATCATAACATGTCATGTGTACAAGTATCACACCTGCCTGTCTGTGTAATTACATAATGTGACACAGACCGAACTCGGGCCTTAAATCAATGCATTTTGTTTATGGTGTATAGCCTGATTTGTGTTAAGTTCAAATTGCATGTGGTCAGTGATCGCAGTTGTGTATTGAATATGTTCATTAGCAGACAGGCAGGCAGACACATAGGTGTCAATAAAACAGACATTGAGTTTTGTCTGTGACAACGACAAATCTATATCACAGTTAGAAATTCTGTTGACGCTAAATAATGACATTGCTTTTAAGTATCGAACTGAGAAAGTGACTCGGTAAGGAGAACGTGTGGTGAAATAGACAAATGAAATTATATAAACAGTTAATCTACTGTCATAACATATAAAAAGCTCGCGCCTGTGAATATCAACAAAACATTAGAAAAATAGCTCACACCAAAGCCTTTCACCGAGTATTCACCGGACAACCCGCTTCCATGCTGCACGAACCTATTTTACTGCGCACGTGCTATGAGCGCAGCCCAGCTGTTGAAACCACTTCAATTCCCCCAAGCGCTGGGGGAAAATTAGTGAATCGTTTGAACTACGATTTCGCGCGTTTTTTTTAAGTGCGTTATTTTTCAACTTTAAAAGTTGAATTTGCATTTTTGATGATTTGTTTCGGTAAGTCCATACCGAAATGTATCAGAATCTGCAAAGTTGTGTTTTACGTTGCATGTGACCTTTAACTTTTTTTTTTATTTATTTATTGTTCCCAAATCAAGTGTACAGATTTTATATACAATGCATATAGAAATATGTAAGCTAAAGCAGGTATACATTGGTGATACAACTGGGTTCTCCAATTATTACATGTAAAATATCACAAGTTAGACGAAGTCATCAGGTTAATAAACAGCTAATACTGTAGATCATTTTTATGAAAATATATCAGAATCATTATTTCTTTTGATTAACATGTTTGGTTAAAGTTAACCGAAGTCATCAGGTTGAAAAACAGGAAATAATGGAGACCATTTTTCTGAAAACTTAAGAAAAATCATTATTTTGGGGGGAAATATATTTGTCAACTTTGAAAGTTTCTTTTAAAAACTTTAAGAAATTTATTCAATTTTGGATACATTTTATTCACAGTGCAAATGTAAATGTGTTTTTTAGCAGAGAGGAGTATATGATTTAATAGTGGGTCTTTTTCTAGAATACCAAACCAAACAAGGAAGTTTGTCAGTTGCAGTTCTTGTATGTTTTGAATAGTCCAATTTTGAAGGTCATTCCAAAAGGTTTTGGTTACATCACATTCCCAATATACATGGCATCGTTCTCATTCACACCGTTACAAAAAGAGCATATTTCATTGTCAGCCAGTTGAATTGCGTAACTTAACTCATTGTGAAGTTATCTTGCTCCAACTATCAGTCACTGGTTTGTCTGGTCCAAACTCAATTATTTATTTGAATATTGTTAACCGTGCCTTTAATGAAATAAATAATCAACATTTGCTTTGTGTAACTGTAGTGGTCTTGGAGATATCCCAAGGACAGGTAGAACTTGTGGATGTCAGTTTTATGACAAATCGAGTAATATAGAAATCTCTATGAAAATAAATACATTACAACAAAATATGTAACATTATTTCATAGGGCATGTGAAGCTTAGCAAGAAATACTATAATCTTAGACACTCATTACAATTAATTAATGAGTAGAGTTAACATATATCAGCAGAGATGCCTTTTGACATTACTTGCCTATTGATGTAATATAAACTGTCATAAGATAGACCGGTGTATGTATAATGATGGTAATGAAAGATAACCTTAACTCACTATTTGTGTGCGTAACATAATTATTTACAATAAACTATAAAAGACCCTCACTGAGTGGCATTGTGCCCATTGATGTTACAAACGTCAGCCAATAGATTTGCTGCAGCTGAACATAGACATATGCAAGATCAATACCGGGTAACATCTGTATGTTATAATTCTAATGCATATAAAATATCCATTTTATCACCCACCTCATCATACATACATTCATACATGCATTCATGCATTCATGCATGCAAGGTTAGATACATTAGAATATAGGGGTAGATATCTACAATATATGTACACATTTGTTTTACCTACACAATAAGTTAGATAACATCCTCGTGAGAATGCTATTGAGGATTAAGTGCAATAAACTTACGTGTGTAAAGTATTTATGCTGACGTGGTAATACTAGATATATACAAACTGGCCAGACAATAGAGTACACAGGCAGGGGTGGAAATAACTTTAAGATTGCTAGTGTACTCCGGTACAGTGGCACATGTGAAATCACTTGCCCTGATATTTTTTCCACTTTTCCGGACGTTTTCTTGTTGATTTTTAAAAATAAACAACATAATTAACATTGGAAAGTCAACTGGACACCGGTACAGTGTGATGTACAAATGTGCTTGCCCGACAGAAAAAACACTGGACTCAGACATCGGGCAATGGGTTATTTCCACCCCTGCACAGGTGACCGTGTAGCAGGTTAGATTGAGTGGTATAGGTAGGTTTAGACTTAATAAAGTAAAATACAAATTAAAATATACTTACTAATATGTACATAACTATATACTCCTACATTTGCATTAATAGCTCAAATGACCTTTCTGTCTTTGAATGCAGATAATGTTCTAGTTAGAACACAAGCATCAAGTGTAGGTGGGTGATGCTGGTGAATGAAGACATACAAACTCGGGCATCTTGGGGCAACATTAGCTCTGTGGTTAGCGTGTAGACTTCTCACACTGATGGTCTGGGTTTGATCTTCACATGGGTACAAGGTGTGAAACCCATGTTTGGTGTCCCCAACTATGATAGGGAGGGTATATACAGTACTCCCAGAAATCATTGAGAATTGGTTCGTTAGTTGTAACTATTCACTATGGTCATGGCTAGGGGTGGGCGATAATACCGGTTAACTGGTATATTGCATTTCGAACTTCACAATAAGATATACATATATTGCGGTACAGCTTTCGCGAATCGGTTCATCTGATACGATCGTCAATTTCCTTGACCATGATCGGTAGTTTTCGTGATGTAGTCGAAAATAGTAATAACAGTTAACAGTGGCCTGTGGCATTGTTTCAAAAGAAAGGAAACAGTAATTTCATTACCTTAAACCATGTGTTACACTTTCACAATATGTTGCAATACATATTGCAGTACGCCATCACATATCGCAATATATTGCAATACGCCAACACATATCACAAAATATCGCAATACGCCAACACATATCACAATATATAGCTATACGCCAACACATATCACAATATATCGCGATACGCTAACACATATCACAATATATAGCTATACGCCAACACATATAACAATATATCGCTATACGCCAACACATATCACAAAATATCGCAATACGCCAACACATATCACAATATATCGCTATAGGCCAACACATATCACAATATGTCGCTATACGTCAACACATATCACAATATATCGCTATACACCAACACATATCACAATATATCGCAATACGCCAACACATATCACAATATATCGCTATACGCCAACACATATCACAATATATTGCAATACGCCAACACATATCACGATATATTGCATTATAAGATGCCTAGCGGTTAGAACAATCGAAAAAAAATTACGTTATCATACAATAAAGGTATAGTTTTTTGATGACGTAACAATTGAATGACGTTATCCCGTCACTGCGCCATTCTAGTGTGCCCCCTCGTAGTCGAACCATTTTACATTACGTCACAATGTAAGCG